TAATATAAAAAATAATTACATCATAATTCATATAATGTTACACGATCTGAAAAATTTTTGGGTGGTGATTTAACCCCAAAATAAAATTATCTGGCCGGCATTACCATATCATCTGGCTGCATTAACGTAATTAGTAATTGGCAGTATAGAATTTATTTGTATATTGTTTCACATATATACTGTATATCATAATATATTTTTATATAGTGTTATGCCTGAAAGCTACCTCTTATGAACTCAGTATAGCTAATTTATTTTAGCGACGTTTATGCTATTAATTAATAACTAACACCGTTTATACTTAAGTAAAGTATATAGTTTATTACAATTACACTTTAAGAGGATTATATGATTTGCACTTACGAAAGAGGCAAATGGTTAAATATATATGAAGATATAAGTAGTCGTGTAAACAAGTTTATGATTTATTCAATAAAGTACTCAAGTCATTCGTGTATGAAGACACGATTACTCTTTATTTATTGTTGAGTTTTGAACTAACTAACTGTCGACTCCCAGAGAGAAATCGAGGATATTTATACATGTTTAATGACTAAGACTATTATATCTGTTAGCGATACTATATCTATTCTATCTAATAATTATATGCGATCTAATATAACCAGTATATATAATAGAGATAATATATATAACAGTAATAAGATATCTACGAGAATTACTAGTTTTCTTGGCATTTGTGTTATATTACTATCAAATGTACGTGTAATAAATCAGGTGATCCTTGAACAAATTTTAGGTCTAACAATAGATATGTACAGTACATGAATTTCTACGTATGTAGAATTTATTTATTTATATACCGTTTTGCGATATTTTTGGATTGTCAATCGTAATAAATATCAGTTTATAAATTGTATATGAGTGCGTGAGAGTGAAAACCTGGAAACCGATCATAGTAAATCATTAAATCGGTTACCAGGTTTTCACTTTTACGCATTTCATATTGTATTAATAAGGTCTAAGTTTATTAATAATAAATACTGCTTTTACCTCATAGGAGGAATTCGTCTGATTGGCTGATGTAAATCAAATTGCCCGGGTAACTTATTTATATACTTTAAAGTACTTTTTTGTAACACTGTTTTGCTAACAAAAAATCATCGCAAAAACTATTCATAGCTTTAGAATAGTGCCAATATTCACTGTGTAAAAGAATCTAAAAACGACCTTATTCCTCACAAACTTCATATGGGCAGATTTGACTCCGATCTCAAAAAATGTGATTATTGCAAAATCAACATTGATTGGTTGATTTATTTAGTATAATAGTAAATTTAGGACCTTGTAAAAATAAACCTGCATCTTTTTTTCTAAATATATTACCATTTGAAATTTCATATTTATAATCAACAAGGTCTTGGATTCCAAGATCCAAAATTCTTTTTTTAAGATCAAAATTCTTGTTAGTGACAATGTTAGCAGATAGACCATGTAAAAACACAGGTTCATGTGCAATATGTGGTGAAAATGATCTTAAAAAAAGGTTTCGCATATTAATACCAAGTCTCTTATCTAAAGCTGTACAAAGCCCAGCTACTCAAAATTTGAAAGTTGAACTTAGTTTACATAATCAACTTTGTCAAAACCATTATACTGAATTTGTAGTATTTGATAGGAATTTAAGCCCAAATAAAAAACAGAAATACAAATTAAATTCAACTTTCAAGATTAACAAAAAACATACCGAAGACAAAAATTCTAGTAAACAATTCAATACTAGGAATTATTACCAAAGTAACATAAGTATCTTTAATGATAAGGATGAGAAATTTGAATGGCACCTGAAATCCGCTAAGGGTGAAAATTCTAATAGACAATTGAATGTTGAAAATTGCTACCAAAATGGAATAGGCATTCCCAAAGATAAGAAAAAAGTATTTGAATGGTACTTGAAATCCTCTATGGGTGGAAATTCTGACAGACAATTAAGAGTTGGAAGTTGTTATCAAAATGGAATAGGTGTTTGTAAAGATTATAAAAAAGCATTTGAATGGTACATGAAGTCCACTAAGAGTGAGAATTCTGATGGCAAGCTAAATGTTGGAAATTGCTACCAAAATGGAATAGGTATTCCTAAAGATGAAAAAAAGGCTTTTGAATGGTACTTGAAATCTGCTGAAGATAGAAATCATAATAAACAACTAAATGTTGGAAATTGCTACCAAAATGGTATAGGTATTTCCAAAGATAAGAAAATGGTGTTTGAATGGTACTTGAAGTCCGCTAGAAATGAAAATTCTGATGAGCGATTCAACATTGATAACTGCAATCAGAGTGATATTTCTAAAAACAAAAAAATAACACTTGAATCATATCATAAACCAACATTAAATAAAACCAATGTTAAAAAATGGTCCTTTTCAAGTATTCAATCGATATCAAGACAAAATAAACGGCTTGTTGCCTTTGAAAGAGAGACTAGAAAAGAACTATCATCACTAATTGTACAACATCAATTAGTTACAAAAAGTAAACAACCCATTGCTCATGTGCGCAGCATTCAATTGGATTTGAACATTAACAATAGAAGTGTAAATTTAAATTACCAGCTATTTAATAACAAAATGGAACTTTCTAAATTAGACGCTATTGTTCAAGCATGTGATGAGTCTTTGTTATCTTGTGATGGCTATTACAGTTTGGCTGCTATTGAACCTTAACTTGTTCGAGAATATAAAGTCACAGCATGAAGAATCAAAATAACAAATATAATAAACAAAAAAGTTAAAATTGAAACTTTTGATGTTGACAAAGCCATCAGTAATTGTGCTTATAGATTAATCAAGTCTATTTTGGATGTTCTCATTTCTATTTGGAAACAGTCTTCTCCACCTATCCTTATTCCAGGTAATACGATTAAGTTAAAGCTTGAAGGTGATGGCCATAATATAGGTTACAAACAAAACCATGTGATGATGACTATTTGTTTGTCAAATGAAGGCAAAAAGGTTTTGAAACCTGATCATCAATATTGGTACGTTTTATATTGATTTACTAATTATTGTTGCCGATTAAAATGAAATTAGATTAAAATAAAATTTTATGATTCAAAATAAAAAAGCCACCAAAAATTACAAATTTTTGGAATGCATTTTTTAAGAGTTAGGGGTTTGTTTTAGTAATAAAATTATATACAACTATAAGTAGGTTTTAGGAGATCAGATAGAAATCTCAAATTTTATTTTTAAATTTCATTTTAATCCGATTTCTTTATGATCCACGACAATTATGATTTTTATTTATTTAATTATTAAGTTTAATTGTTTCTATTTTAAGTATCTGTTTGTATGTTGGGCAGGAGAAATATGACATATTAGCAAAAGTTGGTCATTTATTTGAATGTGAACTTTCAGATCTTAAAGATAATAGTTTTTTCGATTGTGATAATGTGCGTTGGCTAGTAGGATTGTATTTTTGTGGAGACTGGAAATTTATATATATCATAATAGGATTAAACACTCCAAATGCAGACTATTTTTGTTTATACTGCAATTGTAATGTAGCATCATGGTAGAACATGAATCAAGTTTGGACCAATTCTGGGAATTCTAAATGTAATATTATATAAAAAAAAATTTATATATATATATTTTTTGTTATTTTTTTTTTATTTAATATTTTTAATTAGGCACCAAAAAACTAGCTTTATTCCTAACCATTAATCAAGAAAATTACATTCCCGATGAGCTGCATTTACTTTTATGCATATCTGATGTTTTAATGGAATGCTTTTTTAATGATTTATTTAAAAAAAAGGAATTTAAAAAACAAATAAAGCTGACTATTGAAGCAGTGTTTAAAGATTTTGCAATTCGGTTTAAGTTTTTTAAATCCAAATCTACAAGTAACAAATAGAATTGAACTTCATTAATGGGCACAGATAAAAAAAAATGTTAGACCGTTTTCCAGTATCTCAGTTTATTTCTGGTGTACGTGAAGAAAAGATTGAAAAATTGTGACATGAATTTTACTGATTATATAATATTTTATGACAATCGCAACTTTCAGATTTGGAAATTAATCAGTATAGAGTTGATGCAGAAAATTGGGTTCAGGCCTTTTGCTGCCCAACTCAGGGTTATATAAATTCTTCGCAAAATCTTGGGCTTTATCAGAAAGCAGATATTACACCATATATGCATGTTTTTGCAAAATATATACCTTTATTCATGCAGCAATTAAAAACAAAAGCTCTTTCTTTACAAATTTTTTCTACTTCAAGCATAGAAAAAAAAAATCATAACTAGGTAATATAAATATTTATTGCGATTTGTATCTTACACAGGGGATCTGGGTCAGAGCTAAGTTAGCATTTAGCAATACGGGTTAGTACAGTTTATAGCAAAATTATCAGTTAGACATTTTTTATTTAATGAATGGCTATGATTTCATTAGTAAAATTTTTAATGATCTTAGGCAAAATTGATCAATTCTGGCCCAGCCGATCATGATTCTGATACCTTCTGACCCAGAATTTTGGGATCTCTATATATAAGTTGTGGTTTGCAAATTGATATATCTTTGATCAAATTTGCTGATCGCAGTTTACCTTACAATGATTTGATTTTTGTGATTATAGGCAATGATTTGTAGTAAATTTAGATATTGCCACCAAAAATTATGATAATGAAATGCACTTTACAATTACAGCTGTTTTCAAAAAGGTGTGAACAATGATTTTTATATACCTATGTGGGGAATCGAAGAATTGAAAAATTATCATTAGTAGAAATTAAAGATCCGATTAGAGCTAGCTTTGAAAGTTTTGGAAATCTGGGTAATTTCGTGATTTTCCCGTGATAGTTATTTGCGTCTGTTCACATATTTTTGAAAACAGCTATAAATAACAATCAGGTGATTGTATTGATGAGCTGCAATAATTAAAATTATTTTTTAATTAATTCATTATTAGGTTCGACTATTTTTTGGAGGTACAACCATGGGAGGAGAAAACAAAGAAAAATCTGTCATCTACGATATTATGTCTTTTGAAAATTGATAGCTTTTTTATTTAACTAACAATACCCCTAAAGAAATCATCACTCAAAATATTGATGCCAATAACAAGGAAAATTTGTAAATTGTAAGATTCTGATTTCAATTATGTTATACATTTTAATTTCTGTAAAATTGGGTTTAGTGAATATACTTAATTTGAATACTTAGCAAAAAAAAAAAAAATTTGATCATTCTAACATTATAAAATTCTATGGTATTTTAAGAGGTATAAAATTTAAATGTATATACTATTATATAATAAGATCGTTTTTTAATTGTAAGTTTTAAACTTTAGATAAAAAAAGAATAATTTTATGTTAATACTACAATAAGCTAATTGTAGTAACCTGCGAGAATATTTAAGAAGAAAACAAAAGGAGGGCATTTATTAAGCTGCGTTATCTGATGTTCTCAGATAACTGCTATCTTGGGGTTTATTAAAAAAAAAAAAAAAACATCAAATTGTAAGCTTGAATTAAATTACTTACACGGCAAAGGCATAATAATCCCAGTAGTTGATGTGGTCGATCTAATCAATTAAAGAAGTTAGCTACAAAGTGTCAAATAAAAAAAGAATCACTTGAAAATAATAATTAGACATTCATGTTTTATTTTTCAATGAAAAAATAAAGCTATCTTTGCAACTTATAAAATTATTAACTAATTTATTCTATTTTATTAGATTATATCTATCAAAAATTTAATCAGTATTTTTAATACTTATGACTACAATAGCATTTTCTTGCTTGTCACATATGTTCCAAAATGATTCTTTAGTAAATCTATCTCGAGTGCCACAAAGAAGTAATTTAAACTCATAGGAAATAACACTATATTACAATTTACTTGCTTATAGCGCTAATTAAAAACCTTTGCACTCTTCTAAATATTGTCATAATAAAACATATAGTTTATCTATTGAATTGTTGAAATGGTACTCGAGGCAATATAAATCTATAATTTTTTTAAGTTGATTTATCACTTAAAAAATTTTCGTTTGAATCAATCTTGTATGCTTGTACTTGTGGTTGACTTGGCATTTGCAAAGTAATATGGTTCATTTGGGATGTGAAAAGCCTAATAAAATGAATGATTAATGATTTTTTTTTTTTTTTTTAAAAAAAAAAAAAAAAACTTGCGAAGTAATGCAGTTTGTTTGGGATGTGGAAGGCCTAATAAAGTGAATGATTAATGATTTATAATAATAATAATAATAATAATAATACTTGCGAAGTAATGCAGTTTATTTGGAATGTGGAAGACCTAATAAAATTAATGATTAGTGATTAAAAAAAAAAGATGACAAATAATAATTCTGAAAAATTATTTTGTCAAGAAAGATCCCCTATTGATTCTTACGGTTCAGAAAATTTCCCAGAATCTGTTATGAATTTACAAGTAATAGTGCCATATTGAAAAGTATGACTATTCTCCTTTAATTCCGATTGTGACCAACTAAAATTAACTTTATAAGAACTTTCATGATCTACAAATAAAACAAAACCGATAGTTTTTAATTTTGGATCTTGTCAAATATGCCAGTAATCATAATTCACTAATTGCTTTAATCTTTGTTCACCAGCTTTACCCTTAAACAAGCAAGAATACTTTTGTTGCACAGAACTATATCAGAAAGATGGCTTATGCTCAAAAAGATAAATAAATATATTTTCTGGAAAGGCATTAATATAAACTTGTTTGGTATCTACTGAATGCCTATTAAAACCAAGATGTTTTTTAATAAGAACTATAAATGCATCTTGATAAAAGGTGATTTGCTCAAGAGGAGGTTGAATAAGTGAATAATGGTGAGGTATAATTTTGTTATTTCTGTGCTTAATTCTTTCATAAATAACAAGATTTTTTCAGGAAGAAAAACTTTCTTGACAAAGTTGGCATTTACTAGCCATTGTAAGTCTAATACCCAGATAGTTCTTGCTTAATAATCAATTGACAAACTAAAAAGGTAGTGACAACTTTTTAAATATTCTAAATATTACCTGTTGCCTTGGTTTAGGATAAGGTGAGATTGTAAAGTGCTTATCGAGACCATGCTAAAGACTAATAGAATTTAGATATTTAAAATATCACAATTAAATTTTTTAATCAATTTGATTGGTTAATAATATGTTTTGATCATCATATGTGACAAAATCGAATTTTGTGACAATATTAAATAGAGTCAAATCTGCCTATATGTTGCTTAAAAAACAAAATATACTGACCGTTTATTAGATAATCTCAAATTATATTAAAAATAAAGATAAGTGGAAACGTTTTTGTTCAAGACTGCCTTATTATGTTAGATTTAAAAAAATATTTATTATTAACTATTGAATTTGAACAAGATTAAGGTTTATTGTAAAAGAAGTTTTGAGTTTAATACTTGAATATATTTGGTTTTTGCATTGTGTTTTGTCCTGTTAACCGTAATAAGTTTTGGTTTATAGAATGTAGATTGTATGGGTTTATTAATAATGAATGCCACTTTTACTTTACTTTATGTGTATCGATCTATCTTTTATATATTTCTAAATAAATTAATTCTTTACATATTTATTAATTTATAAACGTCTTTATACAAAGTTTCTTTTGTTTTCTAGTATATAGTATTAAAATAATGAATTCTTAAAATTATGAGATCTAATTGGTTAGTTCTTACAGGTGATCACAGGTAAATCTATAAAAATTAGCCAATCAGACAAATTTCTTTCTATGAGCTTTTATCATATAAGAGAACTTTCTCATGATTAGTAATTTTATACAATTGAATTTATATAGTTTAGAGTACTTTTACCCTCTAACATAGTAAATTTTTTTTTAAAAATTGTAATTGTCATTTATAATACTACAGAAGACTCTTTGCAAATAAAGTTTTAAGTATCTTGTATATCACTAAGATTCACTCACTTTAGGTACACTTCACTTAGAGACAGTTTTTAAGCTAAAAAATTAGGAATATATAGTAAATATATGTATTAAAGCTTCTAATTAACTTACAAAGCGTAATTATTTGAAAAAAAAGCTTAAATATATACATAGTAACTTTACAATAATATTAAAATAGATTACAACATTTGAAGCTTTACTTAGATATAAAAAAATGTTTGGTAAGTAATTTTATATTTCAAGATCTTGAAAATTAACAAGTTTAGAATTATTTTATTATTATTAATTAAGAATGTAAAAAAAAACTTATTATTATTATTCGTAGTTTATTTAAAATAACTTTACAGTATTATGTATTGTGAAGATTATAGTTCTGTTATTTGATATTTGATAAAAATTTTTATTTATTGTAATTTTATATGGTGATATATATATATATTATAATTTTTCATCTAAAATAAATCATATTGAATCATTTTAGTCTACTTCTAATTATGAATAAATTTGTAGTTTTTAATTAGCATTAGTATATAAAATCAATATTATTACACCAGTAAACTCAAACTCATGACCTTGCAATTGTAACCTAAAAGTGCCAACCACTGTGCTATTGACCCATGGGTCTATTCTTTTATATTTATGATTGGCCAATAGCAACAATTAAAAATTTAGGCAAAATTACTTGAATTTTTACTAATGAAATCATGACCACCCATTAAGTGAAATATGTTCTGGGCTAATTTTACTATTGCACAGGCCAAAACCTTAAAAATTTCTATTTTTGCAATTAAAAAAATTAAAAATTAAATTTCGGCCAAAATTATGTATAATGCAGGCCAGAATTTTGTCAATCACAACCAACCAGGGTTAAATCACCACCCAAAAATTTTTCAAATCGTGTAACATTATATGAATTATGATGTAATTATTTTTTATATTAAATAAAAAATTTTTATTGATATGAAAGTGAT